AAATGAAAATGTATTCGTTAATGTTTATCAATTGAATGATGTGGTTGGCGTCAAGATGTAACAAGTAAAAAATAAATAAATGTGAGAACAATTATCAACCTTGTTTTAGTTCCTTTCCCTCCCTTCTTCCCTTTTCGTAAACATGAAATTATCGAAATTTTTTTCCGGTGATTTTCCAGACATCTCGTGTTATATAGTACGGCGATTACAAAATGATTTAAAATCGCTTTATTCATGCGTGTTAGTTAATCGATATTTTTGTAAGATTGCAATACCTATACTCTGGGGGGACCCCTTTTCTGTTAAACGTATTTTACGTCGAGATTGCCATCCTCCAAATTTTTTTAATATTTATCTGTTTTTTTTCGATGAGGAAGATAAGGCGACATTAAGGAAATTCGGAATTTTTATCAATTCACAAATTAAAAGACCCTTATTCAATTATCCTAGTTTTATTAAAAATTTAAATACATTTCGAGTGGAATTGCACACGGTCAATTGGTTGAACTATTTCTTTCCCAGTAATAAAAAGAAAAAGTCTAAATCGAACCAATTTGAATCAGATAAAGTGACTTTTCAATCAAGATATGTTGAAAATACAAGCTTGATAATTGAAAGAGATCCGGCATCGTCAAAAAAGATAATGGAATTTATTTGCATTTCATTATTTAAAATATTCATATCAAATAATGCTTCTTTGAATCATTTAAGTATAAAGATCAATGATTCATGTGGTCATTTCTTGACTGAAATATTTGAAACCATCTCAGTTAACCCAAGATTAATATCTAACGTTGAAATTTTAAATTTTGAATTAGAACTTTTGGAATTGAAATTTAAATACCTTCAACCATTTTTAGCGTCATTACCATCATTCTTTTCTTCGATTAAACATTTTAGGATTTGTTCGAATCATTATGATGAGGCATTATCAAATAATCTAACAAATATAATTCAATCACAAACACAACTTTTATCCTTTTCACTTTCTTACATATATAACACTGTGGATACTTTGTATTCTTCCAAGAATTTAACCTCACTTCATTTTTTTAAATGTAATTTTACAAATTTATTATCTTGCGAGGGACATTTCGGTCTCACACAACTTCAATCACTATGTTTCATGCGTTGTGAGGGATTAACCGCTCCAGTTTTTCAACAATTATTTATTATGCCAACTCCACTAAAGGTTAAATCTTTAAGAGTAGAAGATGCATGCTCAGGAATTGGTTTATTAATTCAGGAATTCGGTCCTTATTTAGAGAATTTAGAATTAAAATTGTGGGAAATTGCTGATAGAGAAATTGCTCTTGAGAACATCATAAATTATTGTGATAGAATTAAATATCTCTATTTAGCTAAACTTAATCATGAGGATGTTCCTAAATTATACAAATTAATCACTCATAATTGCAAACTTCTTAAATATCTTACTCTTCACCCAACGAATACAGATGGTTTGCAAGTTTGTTCAAATCTTCTGAGAGATTTGGGTCCAAAGTTACCGCATTCCCTAGAATATTTAAATTTATGTCTTAAGATCGATCCGAATGACCTGTACAACTTTTTGTGTAATATCATGCATGTTGATTTAAAAACATTATTATTTAAAAACAATCATGATAATAATGTTGATATTACTTTTGGTGTCTTGAAAGAATTCGTTATGGAAAAAAAGATAAAAAATTTCGCTTATCGAGTTAATGGTTATTTTGATTCTAGTAATTTGGAACATTGTAAATTGGATTATTTGGTTAATGAATTTCAGCATTTCACAGAAATGAAGAGATATGGTGATTTGATTTTAGGAATTTCGGATTTTGACGATGCGTATTAGTCAACTTTACGGCTATAACGTTTTCCCCTTTATTTTCCCTTACTTTCATTAGATTTATTAAATTTCGTGATATAATTTATAATCATTTATTTTCATGGCAATGTAATGGTATCTTCGCGTTAATGAATAAAATATTATTTTCATGTAACATTTCTTTTAGCCAATAATAAATTTTACGTTATGAATTTTTTGTATGTGGGTGGTGGTGTTCACTAAAAAAAAAATCCAACTTCGAGTATGATTGGTTCGTTCACATAACTTTCCAGCCAATCAGAAAAAGAAGCTTTTTTTTTTTTTAATAATACTTACTAATAAAGAAACTTTAAGCTTAATATTGCATAATATTTTGTGTAATCACGTCAAATCCGTATTTCATCAAAATATATAAAAAAAAACTCTTTATGTGCAAATACAAAGTTGTCTTCATGATTGATTTTTTAATAATTTATAACAAGTCCTTATTAAAAATAAGAATGGTTGTTTTCTGAAATTATAGATTCTCATCAATGACAAATCTCATTTTTATATTCGAATGCTTAATATATCATGAACGTGTTACAGTAAAATAATGTAAAACACTACAACACTCGATTATAAAATTTTAACAATGACGGTCTTATCATTTCTAGTCAAAATATTTTTTTTTGAATTCACGTGAGAAAACCATCAACACCATCATCACTATTATTTCTTAATGATAAAATCATTTACATTATAATAGTATAATTAAATAAAAAGGTTATTTATTAGATCACGATAAAATTAAATGCGGGGATTTTTATTTTGTCTCCATCGGTAAAAATAGCTTGTGATTTTTAATATCTGAACTCTTAAACGGATCATGATCCCAGCAACTTTTCCCAATTTTAGCATTATAATTCTTAAACTATAAATATCTGAAGATTATGTGAGTATACGCTGCTTCTCTTAAAACTTCAGGAGCTATAAATTTACATAATCAAAAATCACTAAGATATTCCAAATTTCCACTCATCAATACATTTTTCAGGATGTAAATCACAATGAGTTATTTATTATTTCCAGCCATGAAATTTATTATTTTCTTAAACCACCATCAGCTGCATATGGAGTTATAATACATATCTTTTGTAACCGGATCCTGAGAAACACCATTTGGGAGGTTTGTAATTAAAATTCATTTTTGGATCATATGATTTACTATGTCTCGTAACCTGACTTTGATAGCAAACGACCCATATAATATAAAGAATCATAAATTGAAGTTGATTTTTTAACTATGATTGAAATATAATTATAATACATGATTAAAAGTTTTAATTAAAACAAAAATAATTAAATTAAAATTAATTTATACTTTTCTCGTTCATAAAATATTTTAACATCCAAGTTTTCAAAGGATTTAATAGTAACTTGAATGTTATAACGAGCTTTCCAAATATCATTAACCATCTTTACAATTTGATGTTTCATGCCAACCGCATTTATGATATTCAACATATTCAAATCTATTATAAGGAACCCTTCTAAATATGAAGCATAAGATTTCGCAATTCTTTGAGTACTTTGAATAAATTCATCAATGTCTTTATTTCCGCTATTCCAATTTGAAAATTCATGATCAATTTCTGGCAGTCACAATTAGGTAACTAGTCATAATCGCTTTTTGGTTGTTTGCAATGAGAACATTGTCCATATAGTTCTTTGCTATTATTCATATTTTTTTGAATTTTATAACGTAGCATGAATATCAAATTAACTTCCGAAAAAAAGATTCTTCGTTGAATAAGTGGTGTGAATTAAGATGATGTAATAAGTATTGTATTGTAACTTGATTTGTTTGGTATTTTCCTAAAACAACATTATTACGGCATTAATTAACTTGCCTTTTTTGGTATTCAAACATTTAGGTAATAATTGGTCAACACGAACGTGACGCACAAACCTTTTAATAACAACCAATGAAAAGATTGCAGGGATTGTACTTTTTATTAACTATTACTCCTTCTTCGTCAATATAATCAAGCACACATCGAGGCTGGCCATGTCTAAATTGTCATTTGTTGTTTCCAGGATTTGCGACGAGATTTCAAAAATTGAAAATCGAACTAGTTCCTTTACGATCAATTTGAAGTAGAAAATCGAGATTTAAGGAAATTCTTCTTCATTGGTACATTTGTATCGGCAAATTATTATTAGTCTACCTGAATCAAAAAAAATATGAGAGGCGTTTTTTTTTGTGGGTCAATGAAAGATGTTTTCTACGAATGCCGGTGATTAATCTTTACTACAAAGCGGGTGGTGTGTATCTCCAGCATGTCATAATATTAGTTTACTTTTTGGATAAAATTACCGAACTTCTTTGAGGACTCCATAGAATATATTGCAGAGAAAATAAAGATGCTACATGTACTGAAGAAAAATTTGAGAATAATAAGCATATGTAGTCAACTAATTATTGTTATCGATTATTCCTAGAGTTCAATTTATTATAAGATATTCTTTTTTATTTATTTAAAATAATTTTTTTATCTTTTATCACAGGAGAAGTAGATATATAATCCTGGTTATATTGTATTAAAAGAAAATATCGACCCGTTTGAAAAAAATTAATTTCGGTCTTAAATTCAAAAAATGGCTTTGAGAATATTTAAAATATTTTTAGAAATTCAATTAAAATTGAATTTCTTTATTTAAATTATGTAATAACGATAAAGTATTTCACATATGATCAAATTTATACGTTCGTTACACGAGATACTTGTCATGATAGTCAATTCAAATAAATTTTGGATTTCCTTTTTGGGGACTCGTCTTTTTCATATAAATACCCCTAGAAAATCTAGAAAATCTAGAAAATTTTTTTTGTTCTTTTGTGAAATTTTTAGTATTAGCGTTGCGAATGCAAGACCTGAAACTCGAACCTAGTATACTGTTAGCAAGCCCCTGGATTTCTCCTTTGAACGAGCATGTTCATGTTTGACAATGTGAGCATACTGCCTCGAAATGTTGAGGCTGACGCTTAACATAGAACTCGAAACCAGGGCGCTCTTAGGAAGTGACTCGGCACGATTTTGCTAACATTATTATAGATTTATATTGCTTTTAAATGTATTTTAGGTTCGGTTTTTTTTTTGATTTTAACCATCCTTGATGAAGAGGTATGTTTTTAAATCTATTGTTAGCGAGCCCCTGTATTTGTCCTTTGTGTGGGTATGTACTGTTCATACTGCCTCGAAGTGTTGTTGCGATCAACGCCTAACATAAACTCGAATCCGGTGTAAGCCCTGGATTTGTCCTTTGTGTGAGTATAACGGTTCATACTGTCTCGAAGTGTTGCGGTCGACGTCTAACATAAAACTCTAATAGGGCGTTTTTAGGAAATGAGTCGTCACGATCTTTGCTAACGTTATTTTAGATTATTATTGTTTTCAAATGTACATAGGTTCATTATTCTGGAGATTTCGAACTTACGTCTAACGTCCTTGTTGAAGAGAGGTATGTTTTTACATACATTGTCAGCAAGCCCTTGTATTTGTCCTTTGTGTGGGTATGTACCGTTCACACTGCCTCGAAATGTTGCAGTCAACGCATAACATAAAACTCGAATCCGGGGTAAGCCTTGGATTTGTCCTTTTTGTGAGTATATCGGTTCATACTGCCTCGAAGTGTTGCGGTCGACGTCTAACATAAAACTCTAATACAATGCGCTTTTAGGAAATGAATGGTCACGATATTTGCTAACGTTATTGTAGATTCCATTTGCTTTTAAATGTACTTTAGGTGCTCTTTAAGAAATTCAAATAACATTTAGGCAATTTCTAAGCAAAGTTGTATCGTATATGAAAAAAGTCTGATCTTTTGCTGCATTACTGTAAAAACATGAATCTCGGGGAAATATCAACAATGCCTTCAATGTATTTTAGAAAATAGACCCACCGCTACGCCATTCTCAAAGACTCGATGCAAAAAAAATAAAACCAAAGTACGAGAATTTATAATCCGAAAGATAATTCCGAAGCAGAAAAGAGATGTCAAGGAAAATCATTATGTAACTCTCAAAGGAGATGGTCTTAAAAATGAAGAGATTTATAATTTGAATAGTTGTATATTATTTCGATTTGTATTATTTTAAATATATATCACGTGAAAATTAACATAATAAAAATTTACAAATCTAAATTTATCAATTCCATGACTTTTATAAGAAAGTTCAAAAAGTAAAAATTTTTTTATGTTTTAACATCTATATTTAAAAATACTAGTTATAGGGGCTACCATAAATGAATATTGTAATGTAAGTTGAACTAATAATAGACATCTCATCTAAAAGCGGCGGTATTATGATCTTCAAAAACGCCACGCCATTGGAAATCGGCATCATCACCTTAAAAAGGTGATTAAATTCGCGTGATGTAATACAACCAAAAGCAGTGTAAAGTTAGGTATCGATCAGAGATAGACATATTGAACAATCAGCTTTGTTGCTGATTCAAGTTCTAATTACATTTATTTTCTTTCTTTATTCAGAATTCGTTGTTAAGTCGCGTCAAAATATGCTATAAGACACGAACGTTAAAAAAAGAATCACATTTTATTAAGATCACGTGATTTATATAATTGCTGTCGGAAATCTTTGACTAATTACGACAGAAATAATGTTTCCTTATCAATTTTTTTTTTTGTAGAAACGAGATGAGATTTAAAGATCAACAAAACTTTTCATATTGTAAAGTAAAAATAGAAAGATCAACAACTCTCATATATAGTAATCATTATGCTAAAAATAAAGAAAGAAATATTTAGAATTTCGCCGACTTCCCAATATGTTAGAATTCAACGACATCCAAATTAGGATTTTCATTAAATGTATCGGAGAATCGGAGTTAAATGAAATCATCATATCAAAAGGGTAATTGCCAATGCCAATGCCAATTCAATGCTTCTTTTATGCCCTCTCTGATGGTAACACATCAAAAGGTAAATAACATATAAGATGCGAATCATTTAGAACAAAAAAAGTAAAGACCTTTGTAAAAAATGATTCAAAAACATCGTATTTTCTGTCTGACATTTCTTCTATTTCTTTTCAATTTAACTTTTGCTAGGATAATCTTGCATGAAGATCGCGCAAATCATTATTATGTTAAATTTACTTCTTCATCATTCCATTCATCTGTTGACCATATTGATGCCCAACATGCCAATTTCCATAAAGAGATAAATAAACTGGGGATCAATGTTATAATTAAAGACGTGTTCAAACGATATGCTAACGGAATTAGCATAGAGACCGATGAACGCCATGTAAAACGAATTGCCAAAATTGAACATGTTGAAAGTGTTGATGTGGTGGTAAGAAATCCATGGCGGTGATTGCCATTTGGCGCAGTAATCTGATATACATTTACTTTATTTTTTAGAAAATTCATAAACGAATAAATCCAAATAAAAATGATTTGAATAAACGTGCCGAAAATTATACGATCCTACTTGCCCCTAATAGCGATATCAATTCTGCTCATAAAATGACTGGCGTTAAAAGAGTTCACGAAGAATTGAGACTTTCGGGAAAAGGCATTAAAGTTGGAATCATTGATTCCGGTATTTTAAGATTTTTCGTTTTTTAACTAAACCACGAAAACTTCAATTGTTTGACATTAACATTTCCTTTTTCTTTATTGATTTATCAGGCATTGACTATACACATCCAGCACTTGGAGGATGTTATGGACCAGGATGTAGAGTAGCATTTGGGTATAACTTTATTGATGATAATGATGACCCATATGATAATTGTGATGGACATGGAACTCACGTAGCAGCAATTGTTGGAAGTGATCTAAGGGGTAAAAATCCTGGATTTGTTGGTGTAGCACCTGATGTTACTTTTGGAGCATATAAAGTACTTCCTTGTAAAAATCGTGAAAATGAACACCAAGCTAACGATATTACGATAATGAAAGCTGTTTTAAAGGCTGTTGATGATGGAATGGACGTCATAAACATGTCTTTAGTAAATAATTAATTTTTCTTTTTTAAAAAAAAAAACCAAATTGTAATAACTTCAAATTTTACAGGGAGGGTTCGGTGACACAAAAAATGTTATGGTAATGTTGATCAATGATTTAGCCAAATATAAAGGAATAATATTCGTGGCAGCAATAGGCAATGATGGCAGAAACGGTTTATTTTCTAATTTAATTCCGGCTATTGCTCAACATGTTATTGGAGTTTGTTCATTTGAAACAAATGAAGTTATAAATTTTAAAGCTTTTGATTCTAAGAATCCAAAGTTTGTTATTAGTAAATATATATATTTATTTAATTTGCAAATTCATTCATTCATTCAAAAAAAACTAATCAAAATTTTTATTACATAGATTACATTACTAAAAATGTATCGCCATTTCCTTTCAAAAAAGCAAAAATTAAATTGCTTCCAAATAAATGCTTGAATGATTACAAAAAATTTAAGAATTCAATAATTATCCAAGATAATAGAGTTAAAAACGAATGCCCAAAGGCCAAAGATATTGTAAGTTAATTCATTTAAAATGTTTTATGTAATATTTCATTTCAACGATAAAAATTTAGACATTCTTGTTTTTAGCTTGATAAAATGAAGATTCTCGGGAAATTTATTATCATTAATAAATATAATCTTGGAGCTTTTCCAGTCCCCCCTACAGCGCTTCTTAATGCAAAAGAAGCCGATATATTGATTCAATATCTCGAAAAAAATCCAAATTTAGAATTAGATTTTTCTGATAAATATGGATATACGGAACCCCATCCATTTGCCGAAACTCCTTCCGTATTTTCAGGTTGGGGTTTAACTGATGAGTTAGATATCAAGGTGAGAAATGTATTGACTAAAAATAAAAAAAAAAACTTTTTGTAAACTTATTTTTTAAAAATTTTTATATAGCCTGAAATTTGTGGACCGGGAAGTTCAATATTTTCAGCAACTCCGGTTAATATTTCGCCTTATAATTTGAACTCTGGAACAAGTATGGCTTCACCGTATATAGCAGGAATAGCGGCATTATATACTGAAGTATTTAAAGAATTTAGAAATCAAAATCAACAACAGTTTCCCGAACAACTAAAAACTGCATTGATGAATTATGCTATTCCTCGTAAGGAACGTAATAATTTATTAGCTTCGGTACTTCATCAAGGTGCAGGTCTAGTCGATGCTTTTAATATGTTGAAAGCAACCAGCTTTGCCTATCCGTCAAAAATTAATTTGAATGACACGGTTCATTTTAATGGAAATCACAAGTTAACTATTTATAATGCAGACAGAAAAGAGATGAAATATAAATTATCCCATTTACCAGCTCCAAGCGTCAATGGATATAATAAAACTTTCGTAAGAGACTATTATCATTTGGAGTACTTTACACGACAAAGTGCTAGTGTTAAATTTGATAACGATCAAATTGCCGTACCACCCGGTTCAAGTGTTGAAGTTTCTGTAACTTTTATGTTACCAAAAGGACTACCCAAGGATAAACATTATTTTTATAGTGGATGGTTAGAGATAATTCCTTTAGATGAGAACAAGCCTAAATTGACCGTTCCTTATGGTAATAAATTCTTTTACATGATAATTTTTAATTATTTATCTAATCATTTATCAACTTTATATTTATATAGCTGGATTAGCCGATGATGCAAGATCGCTTCCAATATTTCAGACGCCTAAATTTCCTGCACTTGCAAATTCGAATAATTCTATTATCACAAAGGAGGATCCAGTTAAAACGTTCACCTTAAAACTTCTTAATATTACTATTGGATTATATGATTATCCATATATACATCTTAATTTATCAACTCCGACACGTATGCTTATTTCTGAAGTACTTGATGTTAATCATAATCTTTTATTATCATCTAAATCTCGTACATATATTCCAAAAGACACATTAAAATATCCAATAAAACTTTCATGGGATGGATTTAGTCAAGGCGAACTCATTTCCAAAGGTGAATATTTTTTTAAGCTTAAAGCATTGAAAATGTTTGGTAATATTAACGACGAGAAGGATTATGAAGTTTGGGTTAGTCCTAAATTTCGAATTAAGAGAATTTTATGAGTAATTTCTATTATATCAATTGGAGTTGTTTTTTAAATTTTATTTTATTATTTTGTATTCTGTTATTTAAAAGTTCATTAAAATGGTTTTCTTATATCTTACCACAAAATCAAAATAGTTTTCAAATTGAAGTCTTATAAGTATTGTATTTATAAACACGTCTGATGACGACACGTCAATAAAATATTTGTCTTATTAATTAGTTAGTATTTCATATATGCATCGAAGATGTATTTCTATATTTATACATTGATCAGCTCATAAGGAGTTTTTCTTTCGAATTTTAAAGAGACGCACCTGCAATCTATTACAATATTGATCAATAAAACATGAATTGTATCCGTTGATAAACAAAACCAGAAATTATTATTTGTTTAGTAACTTGAGAAAGCAAAAGATTTGAAATGTGCAATTATTACGTAGTAAATTTCTTGAAAACTATCAAGTCGTAATGTAGTAATGCTGGTAATGTAGTAATTTTGATAATAAGTCATAATATTGTAATACTAATAGTACAAAAATGTATAATAATACATAATTTATAAGATATATTAGGTAAGTAACCTAAAAATTTATAATAAGTTAATATTGATTTTTGAAAATTACGTCTAATTTTATTTATTAAATTTATAAAAGTGATGAAACCTTTATTATATACAGTATTAAAGAAATTATTAAAGTAAAAAAAAAATCTCATTTCTCATTACACTAGTAGGAATAATTTTTTTTAATTGTTAACAATGTAGTCTAGCTGCAGTACTTTATTTTGTATTGTAAATTAAAGGAAAAATCTAAAAAAAATACTAAAATACGCAACTTACCCCCTGTGGTTCTATTTTAAACTCATTTGAGTCGACTGATCACTGCCACCCCTGAAGGGGGTGGAAATAAAGTATCAGAAAGCATCTAATTTCTAAATGTCTGTCAAACCCTAACTTCCCTCAAAAGAAAATTCTAACACTAAAAACAACACCCGAAGTAGGGAATTAGCACAAATAGAAATTTACA